TCTAACCAAAGGGGTAATTCTGACTCCATTAAAATTCTCGCTCCCGTTTGCATGGAAGCAGAAGGCTGTGCTACTACTTATAAAGAGCTGAACCACCCTCAGGGTGACTCATAGCCCTTAACAGAGCTGCCATGCTGATTTCACAAATATTAGAGCAGTGCCTCAGAGTCAGTGTTTTGTACGGTTTAACCTATCAACTTGGGAGCAGACCCATAGCTCTTTTATAAAGCTCCCCTTCCCTGTATTTTATTTCCATTCTTGGTGCCAGAATTGGAGCCAAAGCCGAGCTTAACAAAGCAACAGGCATGGCCGTTCTTCCCAGCCCTCATTTCCCCTGGTGAGAAGGGAAAAATTAATTTAAAACCTATCAAAACAGCAAAAGCTATTCGCCATTTTGTGCTGCAGAACACAGCGTGAACGAAACACTCGCTTGAACCATCTGCATTTGCCAGCCCAGCCAAGAGCACAGGAACACGCAGGTTGGAATCCTTTTGTTCAGGCATCTGCAACAGACAAACGTGATCTAAACCGTTTCGCAGGCAGCGAGGGCAGAAGCAATGGGGAGATGCTTGGGATGCAGGCAAGAGAGAAGAGCTTTTACCTTATTAAATGCTCTCATTTCTTGTCTTTGAGCCCTTATTCCTGGATCCAGTCAGGTACAGCAAAGCTCTTCGTGTCCCAGCAGCTTCTGCTGCTGTCCCAGCCCTGCGGTAGCCTGGAGCAGCTCTCAGCCAGCCAGGCAGACGCGGAGCAGGCAGGCGATGCAGCTCTCCTCATTGCCTGCCCTCGCTGCATTGCTCTCGGCAAGCACAGACACCACACGCAAGAGGAACCTGCACCCATGCATGCGCGAGGCTTGCCAAAGCTTTTGAAACACGTGTAAGGGAGTGGAGGGACTTGTCCTTGAAGCAGAAAACCAAACCCAGGAATAACCCCTGCACCGCCGAGGGAGCTGTGCTGCTGACCTGCCGTTGGGGTCTGGGAACCATCCCCCTCTCAGCATCTGCTTCTGCTCGATGGGCTGATTTACTGCCTTAACATCCAAAACAGTGCCACAGACTTTTTGCTTCTAGTTTGCTGTTCTGTATTTTCTCAGATCTTCTCTCTTCACCAAAGTACTACGTGCACCACACTCACCCACGCAGGTGTCTTAGGACAGGCTCAGACCAAGTCCCCGGCTAGAACGATTCACATGGAAAACCATAGCCATAAAACTATTAACAGAAGGGCAAGGTTACATTATTAAGACCATTTGGTAAGGTCATATCTATTCCCAATAAAAAGAAATAATGCATTTTTTCATTAAGTTAAATATTGCCATTAACCTGCTTCCCGTGTTTGCCTGTCACGCTGCTAGCACTGGCCCCAGGTCCAGACTCATCCCGCTCTCTGCAGCACCAGGAACCCCCCCTTTCTGGATTCAGAGAAGCAAAGATGACCTACACGGGGATTTCCCAACCACCTCCATCTACTTTGGCTCTGCCTTAACTTCCTTAGGTCACATCAAATGTGATTGAGGTGACAGGAGCATTTTCAAACTGTTTTTCTTCCTCTTCTCACTTCATACTGAATTCAAGAGTTTTGATATGTAGGAGACATCAAGCTGAGGATTTTGTAGCAGAGACAAAGCATCTAATCGAGTTGCTATTACCAATACTGAAGTAGGCTTAGGACTTTCATGATGGCAAAATCTTCACACAGATGCCCAAGATCAGCTTAACGCAGCCACAAGAGGGAGTCTTGAATCTCCTATTAATACCCAGATGGATTCTAGTTGCAAAACGCTTCTAGTACAAGAGCACACAGCAAGCTTTCAAAAGGATTTCAGAAAGTTACCCTCCAAATTTCTTCTCTGGCTTTATAGGACTATCCTTGTTCTGAAGGTAAAGGTTATTTAATATTATGAATCCTTGGTATAAAGATGCAGGGCTTTCTTTTGGGGGCGGCGGGGGGCGGGGGAATTACCTTATTTATCCATTCTAGAACCATATTACAATTGAAGGCAGAGGAAGAGGAGTACGTGAATGGTTTTTGCCCTAACCACTCAGCTTACAACTGCTTGCAAGACTAGTTTCACCTGAACTGACTCCTGCGAGTCTCTTTTTTAGCAGGGATGATACGATGGATAACACGACACGCAACAGAATTATGGCACTCGCAAGAGAGTTAAATAAAAGCAGTTGCTTCCCACCCCTTGCTCAGATTTGGTGGCTGTAAGCAGAGTGGGAGCTGCTGTCGGACTCCGGGCCTTTCTGGCTCACAGTACGCCTTCTCCAGCCCTTTTGCCTCGGGAGCTAAGCAGAACCATTTGAGACCAGGGTACCTCAAAACCGCCAGGTGCCTCGGAGGGGGACCTCCTCTCCAGAAGGATGCTGTCATGCTAGTGCCGCACAATTCCGCTGCACCAGGAATGCACGCTCCTACCTCACTGAGGTTAGAAATTACATTAGGATTTTACTCTTCCCATCCATAATCTGAAAGAACGGAGCAGGTTCTGCCTAATCTAACCCATGGCGCGGCAAGCTACTATGACACTGGCTTAACATTTTGTTAATTTGACCCGTGATTAGAAGCTCTGGCAGAGCTAAGAGCCTACAACATAACAAATAACACTTCTCACGTCGCCAGTAAAATATCTGCGTTGAATCTGTACGCAGCTGCTCTCCATCTGCCAAAAAACCGTCAAGATACATTCCCCAAAAACACTTTTATGGTCTTTACTCAATCTTGACATTCACTTGTTCTAAAGTTTCCAAGAAAACGTTACAGGTCCAAAGGGGGCATCTATGTTTGAGTGAAGCCACACAACGATTTTGAACAGAAAGAGCTATGTACAGGCAGTGCTTGAAGCACCAAAAAGCAGACCTCTAGCAGCACGTTTTTGCAGATTCGGCCAAGAGATAAAGCCAAGAAGCAATTATCTCAAAGAGGTTAACGAAAGAAGTGCTCGCAGTAGAGCTGAATTCTACTTGACTTTATCACTTCATTGTCCTCTGCTGTTCTCTTTTGTACATTCACCTGCCCACTCCTGCTTGAAACGGAAGAGAATCTAGGCCAGCAGACCGTTAATTCTGACGTTTCAACGCGGTCAGTGCATCATTACTGGATCAACCGCCTCTGACCCAAGAGGCAGTAGATTCAGCTGTCATGAAGCACATGAACAATCTGAAACCTTTGAGGCTGCAGCATAAATCACTATTTTTTTTTTTTTTTTTTGCTTACAGTACTAGCCAACTTAAGGGTGGGGTTCATAAAAGGCTGTTTAAAAAAACCTGCCCTCCTATTTATGCATGTCATTCTTTTCAGAAGCAATTTAATGGGAAAAATACTCTTTAATTTTGATTACGGGCTGACTACCGGAATGCCCATGCCTGTATATTCGAAAGCAGATGTTCAGCAGTGCAATGTTTCAAACATTATGCTGACAGTAGTAAGTTATTAGCAAAACACAGTAATATCTAAAAAGTCTTTCTGTGAGGTTGCCTATTGGAGTGGGTCAGCAACAAAAGATCAGACGTGACACATGTTAACATCCCAGAACAATTTATCCTCTGCTTGGGCCAAACCTCATTTCACTCACTCAGCTGAATGCAATTAGACCTCAAGCTTGTCCTAATTTCAGTCTCTGCAGAAGAGAGGTTATCTTTCTTCAGTAATACGTGGCTGCTCCGAAACGCTGGCAGTGATCTGGAAGGAGAAACTGCAAAGGTGCCCACCACCTCATAGATTCAGACAAGGAGCCGCTAAGACAGGATATGTACGTTAAAATGCAAACATGTATGCCGTAGCACCTGCTTGGAGTTTCAGTCAACACACCCAAGCAGGAGGTAGCAAGAACCCATCAGCCACACACTGCATGAGCTATTTTTAGATAAACGTTATGCCATTTTCCCTCTAGCTCCATGGATCAAACATATGCTGCAGCTACAGACCCGCTGCAGTTTCATCTTACCCCAAACAAGGAGATGGTAAATCTTCAGATCCTAGTAAAGGCTAGGCTACTCAAGGAGCAAAGCAGTATTTGCTACAGCTCAGGCTCCAGAAACTGCACACGGCTTTGTGAAAACAAGTTAATTTTTTCTGACCTTTGTAATAAGGTTCTTGCTATTGGGTGGAATTAGAAGAAAGACTACATTACTTCCTATGAAACATAGGACTTTCAGATATTGCAGAAAAAATAAATTAAAGAAAGCTGATTTACTCCTTTATCAAAAATATCACAGTGAAACAACGGTAAGGGCCTTGAGACAGAGGACAAGCCACCTTCTTACACTGCTTAATGGGACAGGAAGATTCTTTAGGAGATAATTTTTCCTTAAAGCTGTTGAAAATTTAGTGTGATTTTTCTGATGAAGTAGCTTGTGTTCCCCCCCCCCCCCCCCCCCCCCCAAAAAAAGGAAGCCACTAACCTAGCTGCATGAGGAATGAGTAGCTGCTAAGTAGAACAAGGATCTTTATGTCAGAAACAGTACTGACCTCATACCTAGCAAAAAACACAGATTCAGACTTGCTCCAAGACAGATTTTAGGTTAAACATCTACAGAAGGAGTCTCTTGAAAAAAAAATGCACAATTATCAGCTGCAAGACTAAGGGAAGACATTAACGACTTGTTGTTCTCAAAGTTTCCTTAATCCAAGTGACAGTGTTCTTGATAAGTAAATGAAGTCTCACGCCAGTTTTTGATTGTTTGAAGCAGTAGTCGAAGACTCAGGCTACATTTATACATCTCTCAGACAAGCCTGGTAGCCTCTATCAAGCAACTGACATTACGAGTGTCAAGATGGTCCCAAAGGCTACAGGACTGCAGAGAGCACTGTGCAAAAGAGGTAGATGCATTTTTTTAGTTGCTATGATGTGTGAGTATTTTTAAAGAAGTCTACTAAGCCATGTAACGGTTTGGGGTTCTTTAATCATTAAAGTTATACCCAACGCATACTGGACAATTTACATTCAGAAGCAATACATCTTTGCACTTTAGTTACAGCGCAGTCTGCTCACTTTACCAGGACCAGAAAAAGAGCCTACTGCCAAACGGAGAAGGCTTCAGCTCTCCTTCAATGGGTGGGTTTGGCTCTGGTCTAGGTCTAGAGTGATAGGCATTCTCAGGCATAGGACGGTCCGTCTTCACTTTCGTAACCTGGAAAAAATAGAAGAAGAAATGATACGACTTCTCACAGCATTTAAGAGAAAAAGCTAGATTGAGCCAGAACTTAAAGGAAGAACTACCAAGAAGTACCAAAGGACAGTAAGGACACGTTGTTGATCTGATGACAGCTCCTATCTCCAGCGTACTTTAAAAAAAGGAGGGGAGGGGCATTTCACTCATAACTACAGAGTAGTTCTACATGTGTGAGAGCTTCGCTCCTGAAGGAAAGGTCTCTGCGCTAGGAAAAGCAAAAAAGTAAGAGCAAGTGGCACTGTCTAAGAAAAGTGCAAGTCTTCTAGGAAAGCAACCCTGGAGAATGCTGACAGAGTCTTGACTTCAAGTAAAGTCCACAAGCCTCCAGTGTTGAGTTCACTAATCACCTTCTGGCTGGGAGAAGAGTTTGAGACCCGGTCTGGAGAAAATACCCCTAAGAAGGGAGAGAAGAACCTGGCTATCCAATCGAAAAGGCACGCAGTTACCTTAGAGAGCTCTCCCAGATCAGGCCTCACCCAACCCAACTTCTCCAGCACACAGTTATCAAATACTGCCTGCTGCTTTCGGCACCGACGGAGCTCCTGCAAGTTGGTATAGTCAATGCACGTCCAGTACTCAGTAAATGGCTCCGCACAGTGCGTCTTAATCTTCCTGTAAGAGAAACAAAATAGTTAGCAAGTGTTGTAGCTTTAATGTTTTTCTCTCTTACTCGTTCAAACTTTAACTTGTGATAAAGTGTTTTTGTAGTTTCAAGTTCTCAGGAACACCTCAAGCCTTCAGAGAAGTCAATATTTGAAGCATCATTAAACAGAACTTGATACCAATACCAGTAAAATTTGTATCACTGTGGCTACAAGTGAGGACAGCAACAACTTAACCAATGCGTGGAAGGTATTCTTGCTAGGTAGGTGTACACAGCTCCTCCACGTGGGATGCTTGTTTTGCTAAGTAACGTAGTGTACACTATACAACGCTCTAATGACTCCAAATTAATTTGGTGTCTTAAGAAGACACGCTCAGGACAGAGGTTTCTGATTACTAGCTGCTATACTGGAAATGGACAGCTTTAGGCTAATTAAACTAGGCCTTTTGCTAGCAACTTAAGAACGTGATACTGGCACATGCCTCGATCTACATTTTTGGTCACAAGAGGTAAACTGCGTGCCTACTGCCCAGCAGCGCGCCCGCGAAACAGAGCGCGGGCAGTGCAAAGCTTAGGCCGGGTTCCTGGATTTCCGAGCACAGATGCAAGGTGCAGAAGCCGCCCGCCTTCCACCCCCCCCAGCGCTCCCTGGGCAACCTAACGGAACCCTGCGCCAGTTTCTCTGGAGCAGAGGCCAGGGAGCGTCTAAATTCACGTATAAATAAATAAAACGGGCACGGCCCCTGTCCCCGAGAGTTAAAGTTCATGAAGCAAGAATAAAGACTCCGAAGGCCGTGGCGGCAGCGGCGGCGTTTTTAACTAAACCCAGCGACTGCCAGCGCTCGAACAAGGCGGCTCGGCAAGGACGCAGGGCACCGGCAGGTCCCGAA